TGATGGTATTTCTTCATTACTGCTGCAAAACATTTTAGATATACTAGCTGAATACGATCAGGTGAAAGTTGAGACCTGATCAAACTATTTCATCAAAGCCTGATCTGCAGTAGCGTTAACAATACTTGTCATATGCACACCACTAAAGTACCAACTTTAAGAACTGTAGATATGAATGAGGAGATTGTTTTTCAATTGATCATTAATCTCAGACCCAGTAAGACAATGGGTCCTGATGGGTTGTATCCACAATTTCTGTCATCTCTCGCAAACATTATTTAAAGGTCACCCATAACGCTCTCTAATATGCCCCTTTCCCATACTCAACATCCTAGGGATTGTAAAGATGGTATGGTTAGTCTCATATTTAAAGATCGTCAGGAACAGAACGTGCTTAACTGCCGACCCGCCTTTGTAAAAAGATTATTATTTACGTTTCTTTAAACTAGGTTTCGGCTTAGTTATTTAAGTTACAGAAAATCAAACACACTGTTAGCTGCAGAACAGCACGTGTGTCGAAACCAACATTTATGCTTAATCACCTTACTTATGGCGAGAGTGAATCGGAGAGCACTTCTGGTTAGCGTTCTGTCTGTCAATGCGATTTTTATAGACTTAAGTAGAGCATTTGACATGGTTTATCACCGTCATATGCAGAAGCTCCAGGGATTCAGAGTAACAGGTGCTGTATACGTATGTTAAAGAAAGCTTTTGTGTGGCCAAAGACAGATTGAAGGTAAATGAAACATTATTTGAGTGGGAGCCGGTAAAAAGTGGCATACCCCAAGACACCAACTCAGTTCCCTTACTTTTCCTTCTCCGCATCAATGAATTGCCGTGACTGCCTAAAACGTTGACATTATTGTTCGCGAGTGATGTAAAAATCTGGAAAACAATAAGAAGTATTTCTGGTCATTTTCACTTCCAAGATGAGGTGGTAGATTTAGTTAGGTAGCCTCAGTGTTATGGCTTAAAAATTAAATTTAGAAGGAATGGTCTCATGCATATCGGTTACAGTAATAATAAGCAGTAGGCTTTCTAAGGTGCATATCTTCGACGCATGCAGGACACACAAACCTGTCGAAGGTTTTCGTGAGTTATCGTCACCTCGCCTAATAATAATAAACATTAATGAAATGTTTCGAAATTTAGATACCACATAAGTAAGACGCGCGCTATTTAAAAAGGACAGTGGTATTTTTCCTCGCTGAGTAAATTTTATTATTTTGATCGTTTATTAAGTATCAAGACTATTGTTTCACTTTAATTTATTTCAGTTAAAGTATTCGACTAGAATACCGTTTTTACTGTTCTCTCAATTAGTTTTGTCGTTCGTACTGTTGAGTACCTCTTTTTCGACTGTATCTGTTAGAACTCTTGGTCCTAGCAATCTACAGCTCTCCACTTTTTTGTCCTTGATCATTTTTTGTTTCTGAGCATCATCGCACTTGGAAAAGAACCCCTTTTAAATGACCAAACAGTGTAAAAAAGAAGTTGCCAAAGTTCGGGTTGTTGTTACCCCGTTGAAAGCGGCATTCAGTGCGACGAGTGCAAAAGCTGGTACCACGAAGTTTGCACAAATTTAACGCCTGCGGCTTTCAAACGATTCAGTAAGAAGGGTTGCGTATGGCTTTGTCAACAGTGCTGTTCGGATGCAAACAGCCTGTAAACCGGGGCCATCTCGCTGGTTGATGCTGCAAAGAAGTGTTTTAGCAAGCGTAGTCGGAACAGGTCAAACAGCACTCGATCTGTCGACACGCAAAACGACATGAAGCAAACTAAGGTTAGTTCGATAGTAGATGACTCACGCCGGTCAAAGAAGGAAAAGCAGTCTCCAAAGGGGCCTGCCTTAAACAAAAGCTCAATGAAAGTAGGTTCTCCTGTTCCCCGTCTCCCAGATGGGATCCCACAGGAAACACCTAGAGGCCGCGATCGCAAGGCTCGATCGGTAAACATAACCTGACCTCTCAGGTCATCGACAACCCTCCAGAATCCAACACTAGGTTTGACGCAACTGTTGTTTCTTCTCTCAGCACCATTGACGAGTGGGTACAGGTTGTACGGAAGAAAAAAAGTAGCGATATAAGAGGTAATCTTACCCCCGCGAAAGTACTCGTAAAATCGAAAGCTTATCATAGCGACAGATCAGCTATTTTTCACAGAATCAAGGAGAGCGAGAGCTCTGAACCTAAAGCTCGTTTTGAGCATGACATTGTGCTGATTAGGCAGCTGCTTAATCAACTCGTGCCTCAAAATGTCACTGGGGTCACCTTGCTAAAGGTTTGCAGACTAGGGAGTCTAGCGGACTTGAAACCAAATCATTCCAGACTGCTTAAAGTAGTATTCAACTCTTCGAACGAACGTGACCTAATTTTACAGAATGGACACAAATTAAAGGGTTCAGGAGTCTTTATACGAAAGGACTTACCGTTGGCAGACCGTGTAAAAAGATGGGAAGACGAAAAAGAACTACAACTTAGGTTAGACGCTGACGAAAAGGATCGGAAAATTGTAAATTTTCGGGTTGTAAGGCTTCGACAGAGAATGATGCCGAAGCCACTCTGGGTGAAGCACGAAGCCACTTAAATAGGCTTCAGATCTGTTACACTAATTTTCAAAGCTTACTTAATAAGCGATCGGAACTAGGTGTACAGATTGACTCTACAAAGCCAGACATAATCGCAGTTACAGAAACCTGGCTGACACAGGCTATAGATAGTATGGAACTTGATTTCGAGGGTTTTACGTTAGTAGGGGCCGACAGAATACAAAAACGTAAAGTAGGGGGGCTGTTCTATTCATTAGGAATGCTATCCCATTTGCCATTATCGACAGTGTATCCCATGAAAGTGGGACGTGTGAATTAGTTAGTCTCTGCTTGAAATGCAAGGGACAAGAGCTGCTGATTGGTTTGGTCTATCGCAGTCAAGCTCTGAGGCAAATAAGGTCTGCTAAGCAGTCTGAATACTTGGTCACAAAGTGGTCGATGTCTAATCCTAAGGGACTTTAATGCACCTATGGTAGATTGGGAAAATCTGCGAACTGAATCGTTAGAAAATTCCTTCGAGCAGGAACTAGTTGATGCGGTTATCACATGTGCTCTAGTGCAACATGTGAAAGAAGCGACTAGGTACGACCCGGACACTGAATCATCCTTACTAGATCTGATACTCACTCACTATGTGGATGACGTTGCGAACCTCCATCATATGCCACCCCTAGGTAAAAGTGACCACGCAGTTTTAATTTTCGACTTCCATATAACTGTCAGTCACGAGCACGCGTCAGTCCTACCCAGACCTAGCTTCTGGAAAGCAAATGTACCAGATATCAAGCACTCAGCATCGTTAGTAGATTGGACAATAGACCCAGAGTCCTCAGTTGAAACGGCGTGGGACGCATTTCGAAATTCATACTTCAAAGCTGCCACACCCCACATCCCTTGGACTGTACTAAGGGGCCGAGAAACTCCCCAACATGGTTCAGTAGGGGGGTCCTCATCCTTCTCCGTAAGAGAAGAAAAATGCGGGATAGATTTAGGTTACTGGAGACTGATGAAACTAAATCCCAGTATAGAAAAGTCCGGAATACCTGTGCCTCGACCCTCAGTAAGTCTAGAAAGTTGTACGAAGAAAGGATTGCTAAGGAATCCATAGAATGTCCTAAACGCTTGTATTCTTATATAAACCAAAGAACAAAGCGAAGAGGGAATGTTCCTGCTCTATAGGGAGACAGTACTGCCGCGTCACTAGTGGAGGACGACTTTGGTAAGGCTCAAGTGTTCTCAAACTACTTTCATTACCTCAGCACGTGTTGAGGCTCCATTGTCGACTCATTCAAAAAAAGTTGGATCAACTGAGAGACCACCATTGCCAAGACTAACATAGGGCATCAAGCCTCCTGTCCTTCCCAAACTGAAAGTGAAAGATTTAGAGTACTGTGTCGAAGCCATTGACCCATATCTTATTATGGATATTAACTTACGTGAGCATGTACTGTGTGGATAAACAATATTAGTGGATGGTATTTCCAAACCTCATTACGATTAGTGCCTAAAACGCTTAAAGTATTTCCTCTTATCATGTTGCAGAAAGTAACTAGACCTTACATCGTCATTCTGTACCCTTAATTACTATTTGGGTGTTGATATGCCTTTACGTTTTGCTACTTCCATCACTAGTAATCTTCGAATCTGAAGCAACTGTTCGAAAACCGAGATCTAATAAAGACAGGGTGAAGTCCTGTAGTCAGCGACTGAAACGGATTACCCAAACACGTAGTTCCAGCTACACCAGTGAATCCTTTCAAAGGGAAGCAGCAGTTTCGCAGAAAAGCAAACTGCTGGGATTAATACAGGTTCAACAATATATTTCAACAAATCTCATTAACCGGAATCTTTGCCTAGAGAGTTGAGTGACCTACTGTCACTGAGTACGGTGTTTGTCAAGCGTAAACTTCACTGTTTTTATCCAAAACTGTTTGATGCACTCATATTTAACATCAAAAATTTCAATGATGTTGTAAAGTGTCATTTTAATTATCTTTGGCAATGTAATTCATAGAAAATTTGCACAAGTTTTAAAGTGAAATACAGTTTTAATGACTTCAATACCTCGCACGTTCGTTCGTGCTATTAGATGTGTACCTTCAAAAGCGCCTGTTTTAAATTTCGCGAGTACATCTTTTTCCAAGGTCTCTTCAAGGTCCTCTTCAACTTTTCGCTTCACTCAGATTACTGGACATAAAATCTCCAGGAAACGATGTTACTTCAATTTCCCTGTGTTACACCTACCTAAAGAATTCGCTTATTTTTTTAAAACTACTAGAAGGAGTAATAATTACATACAATTGTTGCTAATATTTATCACATGCTTTAATATCTGGCTTGGAAACTTTATCTCCAGAGTTTTATACGGCAAATAAATTTCTCTGCACCCTTTATTAATATTTATACAGTGTGTATTTTTCCGCACTTATGTGTAAATTTATTTGAACCATAAATGGACATAACCGTCAACGTTCCCCCTGATTCAACTAACGGTAAACTTGAGAATGTGACTTCTAAAACCTTTGACAAAGCGTGCTCTGACTCTCACCACAACAATAACTCTCTTCCGACGTCATCCACTGCTTGCAAAACACATTTATGTCAAGGAGTTTATCTACCTGATGACGATGGATCTATTCTCACTCCTGAACATGCCTTTGTACAGTATCAAACCCGGTCTGAAGACCAAGCCTGCCAGATTTGTGGTCAGCCAGCTGTCGGATTCCACCATCGCGCATACGTTTGCGAGGCCTGCAAGGTAATTATTTTAATGTGTTGAGATTAATCTAGTTACGTAGTGATTCTTTAACTAATATCTATCCTTATATTCATCAATAGAGTATTCATTTATCAGCGAAATAGTGCATATTATTTAATTGCAGATGTGTTTTCAAATTGGATTACTGTAAACTTCCTGACTTTCAGTCAGTCCCCATTTATCTGTTTAAAACTCTCAGTACTAGTCTAAGGAAGATTCAAAACATACCTGCACAATCTGGGATACAAACTCTAACAATGAAAATGAAACATAAGATTACCTCAATTCTAGGTTTTATGGGCTTTTTGACAAATACACACTTTTTAGTTCGCTTTATTTTTGCATGCTATTTAATGAACAGATATTGGACTAATTTGATTGAGTGAATGCCTAGTTTGTAGCCGTTTAAGAACCTTAATTTGCCTCAGTACTTCAGATTTGTAACATCCGCAAACTTGCCTCTGTGTGTGTGTTTAATCCCAGTGTTACGCTTTAAGACTACTCCGTAACAGACTACTTATATTTAAAAGATTTAATTTAGTATATATTTGAATGCTTGTAAAAATATATGTGCTGACTTGTTCTCTTCCTAAGTAAATTTATTGTGACATTACTTCAAATTCATTCCTTCATTGTTGTGTACTGATTCCTCCCATATTTCAAACAAATATTTGACCATAGAGATCTGTCCTCACTTGTGAAGATTATTGCGTTTCCATAAACCTCACTGCATATCTAACCAGTAGTAGTTTTGATAGATAAACTGAAGTGTTTTGTGTTGTTTCTCTGTGATAACAGATATGAAAACTGGACAAGTTGAGTAATTCTGTTTTTAGATTTACATCTTAGCTATAAAATGTGAAGGCCATATAAATAGTTTGTGCTATTCATAGTAATCATACCTTAAATAATTGAACTTTATTTTGGTACAAGCGAACCCACTTTTACAAGTGAATTCTCGGTATGTTGTTTTTCCTGTTGTTATTGTTAATACTTGCAGAAAACACATCTACCAACTTTAGTTTTTAACACTCCGGAATCGGTTCTGTTTTTGTATATACTGTTGATTTTAATTTCAATAAGCCATCAGTTGTTGGCTAGAGTTGAACATGTTTCGGAACCACACTTTGGCTGATCAACTGAATAGTAAATTTTCAAACTAAGAATCTCATTTAAGTCCCACCTACATAATAATATGTCACATACGAACATAGTGTTTTGGACTAAATTTCCAGCAGTCCTCAGTCTCTTCTCAAAAATCGCACTTCGAGTTGAACTAAGCTCGACAAAGTCATTTAGATAGACAGGCTGTTATGTTGTAATTTTAATATGGCCATACTTTACTATAATTAATTCCGTGATCAAGGCTAAATAGTCGTAGTCGCGTTTTTCTTAATATAAGCGTTTGTGAAGTTTTCCAATGAATACTTTGCAATCTCTCACCATTTTTAAATAGTGTCACAAACTCAAATTGTTATGTTTCTTTTAGATAAGCAATATTATGAGGTAGGCTTTTTCAAAGTCAACACGTCAAGTGCTTATAGTTAAACCTTTAAATTTTTCGGTCATGTCCATTTTAACTGTACCAAAGTTATAGTAAGTGCTTTTGGTTGATATGTGGCTCCAAACAAATATCATAAAATATCATTTTAGAAAGTCACTTTACTACTCGCTTAGATCTGCCGCCTGTTACTTCACTCACTATTATTTCCGAGCATACTACTTGAAAATCTAAAAGCGGACTCAATTTATTTTTAGCCTTCGCTCTTATATCATATTACTGCAGTACCTTTTTAAGACATCGAATGATAAAATATTATTCAGCAATAAATTCTTAGCTCTGTTAATAATCACAAATAGACAAGAAGTAGTTTATGATTCTACAGATTCGAAAATACGGGGTGTATAAATCCATCCATATATTTTCAGTCACACTACTTCATCATATAATCTTCATTTTGTCTGCGTTTTTTCTAGTTATAGGGTATCTAATAGGATCTGATTTTTACATGGGCGTGGTGGTACTTTACTGATTTGAAAAGTTCCGACGTTATATCCCTGAGAACTATTTAAATATGTGTTTTCTAACCTTAAGACGCAGTTGAAGTTTTCTGTGATTCTGGCTAATAAGTAGTTGGTTTCTTCTCATCTCATGATCAAGGTAGTACATTTCTTGTGGAATAAATATATCCTAATACATCCTCAATCTCACCTGAAATCTGAGGACTAGTCAAGTTTATTTAGTGATTGATTGGGTTCTGGTAAGTGTTCTATTATTTGATTGAGATATTAAAATAGTTTTCAAAATAGACATGCATAACAGCGGTGCATAAAACCCATGACTGTAAATATAACGTTTATGAAAGACGATGAATTTCCGGTGTTCGTTGCCCTATTTTCACATTCTTTTTGGTTACTACTTTTATGGCCTGATTATTTCTGTATGTTAACTTTTCTCCCTGCCTCAGTGTTGATAAGTATGACAAACAGAGCTATTCTGCAGTTGCCATTTGAAAGTCTACAGAATAATTTCCGATTTTCTTGAAGAAATTCTCTAAAAAGTATATGTTTGCAAATTTTTAAAAAACCACTTTACCGGTAGATATTCTTAAGCCTATTATGCTACAAAAGAGTTATATACAATGGGATAGACTATCTCATTTTAGGGTTTAGTTTAGAGTGCTAGGTAGTCGATAGTGTGTGCTTGTATGAGTCAGTGGTTTGGTAGTAATAACTTTTGATTTTCAACCATCACGCTGTTGACTCGAACTCACTTTGATTTGAAGGGTTGTATGATATCATAAACTCACACAAATTGTGACTTGTTGTTTTAAGTTGTATTAATAAAGAAACATACATCAACAAATGTGACGGTTGCATGTTCGGTAGTTAGAGACTTTGAATGACGGCTTGAAATCGTTCTCAATGGCACAGGTGCATTCATTCCTTTCCTACCTTTAGGTCCTAAGTTTCTAAATCTCGAATTGTGTATTGAATGTACAGTCTTTTTTATTACCATTAATACTGTTACCACTATTATTACTGTGTGATTTGCCATCTCTATGTTGCGTTTGACTGATCTACCTGGTATTGATAATCAGGAAGAACTAGGCAACAGTTTCTTCTCAGTATGAGGATCCTCAGCAATGCGCATCCACTTCACTCAGGATTGAAGTCAGAACTTTCAGTTCTCGCAGCAAACGCCTGCCCTTTAAAATCGCTGGCTTGGGACTCAGTGGTACATTTTCAACCTCAATTAGATCAGTAAAATGGCACTATGATCATCTAATGTGACTGATGGAAAAACTGTTTCATCCTCGGCTTGCCTGAACCCTACCAATCACTAGTGGCATTAAACAATCGTCGATGTATATGGCAAATTGATCGGAGTCAACATTGTGTTATTGGGTATTAACTCCTTACTCTTAATGGTTGTATGCTTGTCACGATATCTGAAGATTTTAGTTCCGGTTCCTGATGAATTGGTGGGTGCTTGATACTAAGTATCATACTAGAACAAAATAGCTATCCTGTTTCCTCTAATTTTCTCCAATACTTTAAGTAAGATATCTATCTGTGACGAATACAACCTAGAATTCAGATCAATATGTACAAAACCATTTTAACTAAAATATATTGAAAGATGCCGTGATTGGTTTTGGTCAGTTTTGTTTTTTCTTGCTAAACTCATCAGATTCAATCAAGTGTGTGTGAGAGAGAGAGAGAAAAAGAAAGAGAGAAGAAACTCGTTATTACAGCTCACCATGTCATCGTCTTTCGTTTTAAATACTTTCTAACATTTCTACCGTTCATTGTCTAATCTCTGTCATGTGTGTGTGTGCACACGTTTTGAATTTTCTTTCTGAAAGTTTAAATTGAACCAATGTTTTGTTTACCAAGTGTGTTTTAGCTACTTGTTTAATTATTTTGATTATTATACTGCTGTGCAATGTTTGATAAACCAGAACAGTTTCTAAGTAGTTTTATTTGTTGAAACTACAAATAAAGTAAAGATTGTTAATGTAATATGAAATACTCTTTATATGTATTTGTAAATTATAATGCGTTTTATAGTTAGATTTATTTACTTAGGAAATTCATTTAACAGCATAAACAAAGAAAAAAATATACATTTTCGGAGAGTAACCTAAATAGATTCGTGTTGTTATTCTGTAGTTGTTGGTTGTTTCAAAGACATCTGTAATCAAATATCTTCAGTCTAAGTATATTTAATTTTATAGGGTATACTGATTCTGAAGTGTTCTTTTCAAAGCTGGATAGTTTGATTGTGGAGCTTTCATTGTTCTTCTGAAAAATATCATCAGTACAAAGTTCTGGTGGAAGTGATGTATTCGAATTTCTTTACATATGACTCACAGCTTATTCTGTCGATCTCGATCTTGACTGGTTGTTGTTGTTGTTGTCACCCCTTAATCTATCATTGTGTATCTTAATTTTTATTGTCTCTCGTTTTGTTCTTGTTCTGAGTCTTAAGGTTGTCTATGATTTCTCTGATTCGTTTCTAAATTAGGTCGATTTCGATATATTTGTTAATTGCTGATTAGCCAAATGAACGCCAAGCTTCTAAAAACTCTCTAATGTTTTTAGTACTTCTTCGATCCAAGATTTGTTCACAGTTGTCCTTTTGATTTGCTTTTCATTTTGAACTTCTTTTGAGAATTATAGACTTTAATATCTTATAATCCAGTTAAATAAAATGAAATTTAATTGGTTATTCATGTTATTTCAGTATCATGACATATTTTCCCATATTATCTACGAGTTTGTTCTCTTCATTCTTGATTCACATTCAGAATTGACTAGAACTATGTATGAAAAAATCATTATAAACGTTACTTAAATATGAAAACAATATTGATTTAAGTTTTTTTTAATGCCTTATCAAATGCCCTGGTACGACCGAGAGTGGGGAGTGTCCGCTCTCCCTCTCGAAATGCTCTCACATGGCCACGCGCATATAGCCTCTGCCAGAGAAGTCC